ATTGATGTATGTGTTGTAGTTAAATTTCACACTTAAAGCCTCGGTCCAGCGACGATATATATTTTGTTTTATTTTTTAATATCCTAAGCACTAGTGTTAAACGCAGAAGCATAATGCACATTTTCATTTATAGTTACATAGGCTACTTTTATTTCATACTCTTATTCTTAGTTCTTATAAGTCTCTGTTCTTTACATCTGAGTGACTGCATTTTCTCCTCAGGGATCAATAAAGTATTTCTGATTCTGATTTTGAGGTCAGGATATCCTGCTTCTGCTGCTTTGATTTTGAGCACCCAGTTTTGTTTTGTTTTGTTTTGTTTTTTAATCTGTTTAATGTCATGTGATTCCTGGGTATTATGTAGGGCCAATAATTACTTTTATTTAGGTTGTAAATATATAGCAGGGTGACTGATGTCTGTCTCTATTCTATTATATGTAAATAGTATGTCTATGTGCAATGCAGCATGACAGATTCGTGCTTTAATCTGTGTAAAGCGCACTGTGAGTTTACTTCTGGTGACACATCTTCTCTCATAAACGATCTCTGCTGATTTCCTCGCCTCTGATTGGACGAGCCTTGGCCATTTGACCTGCTATCGATTTTTTCTTTCTCCAAGGCGGAGTGAAATTAAAGATAGGGGTATGATATTTGTCTTTGACCTAGCGCAGTACTCTTATATTGATATTTTAAGGTATCACAGAGACAATTTTAGTGCATTGTAGTAGTTTTAAAGGGGATAACAGCCTCTGGAGCCTCACCTGACCTCGGCTGGTTGTGCTTTACAGCGGATTAAGGTGTTTTATTGGTCTATTTCTGTATGTCCTTTTTTGACAGGAAGCTAATTTACAGCCGGGAGTGACAGCAGGGTGCAGTAACGTTATGGCCTGAGGATTTGACATCGCAGGGACAACCACAGGGTCAACATATCTATCTGCTGCCTGCCATAACCGCCAAAGAGATAAGGACAAAGAGGTAAAGTATCGCTAATAACAGACTCAAAATGTAGCTTTATTGTTAACCATATACTTACCGTATAGTCACACGTTAATACGATTAATATTATTGCTGTATTGTCTAAATATCAGTCGCCTATTGATGCTATTCATGTGTGTACTGTGAGAGGCACCTTACCCTCTCTGCAGCATTACCATGAACCGCATCCTCTGGACCACTTATGGTATAGACGCTACTGTTTGTAGTGACGGCGGCGCCATCTTGTGGTGTGTTTCCACAGCTGCAACGAGCTGTTATTTTTATACCGGAAGTGAACCCGTGAGGTCGTCATGGGAAGCAAAGTCAGCTCCAAAATGGCAGCCCCCGCCGCCCGAGTTATCCAGGTAATGCTGCTCCTGATTTTTTAATGACTGTAGACATCAGTGTGTTGAGCCCAGATTATTGTTGTGGAGTAAACAGATCATTTTTCTGTTGTTTGGATCAAGTCGGTTGTTTTTGTTGAGGCCTTTTTGAGTGACAAATCCCGTCGTACCCTTGTTGGTGTCCTTGTTTAACCGCAAAACACACAGAGACATGTTATATAAATGTACAGCGACAGAAAAGCTTTTCCCTGACTGAATTATTATCAGTGGTTATTGATATTTTCCCTGTTATCCCGGTCTGTTAGTGCTATTTTACAGAGTCAGATCTACCCAGGATATAGGCTAACCTTAGCTAACTTTGTCCATACATGAGGTTTAGCTAAAAGCAGCTGTCAGTTAGGATAGAAACTCATTATTCACTATTATTCAGTCACTTAATAGTTAGTTATTTTGTGATATTCTCTCACATAAACATGCCTGACAGCCTTTTTACTTGTAACAAATGTTAAATTCACAGCCTAGCAAGCATGTAAACAATGTTTGTATGGATTAGGACAGCATCTACTGATTATTTTTATATGTCATCAATTAAGTTTTTGATTATTTTTTGGTTGCTCGATGAATTTGAAAACAGTTTAGAAGCATACCCGTCTTTATTTTCCAGAGCAATGTTTTTTATTTTCATCTCTAAATTTGCTTTGTTTTGTTTAGTCCAGTGCCATTTCAAGATTTAAAGTCTTGTCATTTATAGATGAGCAGTTGCTGGTAATGAAACTCACTCCAATAATGCTACTATTAAATGTATAAAAGATACACACACAAGCTAAAATGAGTATTCCAAGACATGAGACTTAACACACAAGATAGTGCAGAAGTCAAAATATTTAATGAAAATATGACATATATAAAATAAAAGACTTTGCTAGGCTGCTGTACAGCAGCGATAAAATGAATAAATTGTGATATAGTCAAGATAAAGAAGACAATCATCCCTGAGGATTAACGAGATGATTCAAATTCAGATTTTTTCATTCTGTTGTCATATACACACACATTCACAAACAGGACCTATACATGCATTAAATGGAGAGATGTCAGAGCAAGGGGGCTGCTTGAACAGGCGCCCCGAGCAGTTGGGGGTTCAGTGTCTTGCTCAAGTGCACCTCGGCAAACAGGCATCTCTCCAGCTACCTGTCCACGCGCCATAATTTCGCACAGGAACGTTACCATTAGCCATAGAGACTGGATGGTTTAACACCACCCTAGAGGAGGACAGAATTTGTTTGTTGTGTAATTTAGGTGTTCATCACCATTGTAAATTGTTCTCAGAGACAGATACCTCAAATATTCCACAGATGTTTGGGGTCACCTGACCCTTTATTTTACACAGTTCACACAGCTGCTTGTTTTTATGTGTGTTCGCAGGCTGTTCGGCCTCACGCTCCTCTGATCAAGTTCCCCAACAGACATGACATGGCACGGCCCAATGGTAAGTATGATGAAAGTAACTAATGGTCAGACAGTGGACATAGTCTTCCTCTTTTATTGTTTCACATTGTATTTGTTCTGTCTGTGCCCAGCAGGCCAGATGTTAACATCACTTCAGGTTGAGATCATGTGTGTACAGTAAATCTGCAGTGTGGTTAGAAATGATTGATTTGAAACAGTGTAAGGGTAACTAGAATTTGACCCAACACATGAACTGTTATTGTTTTATGTTTTCTTAACTGATTATGTGTAATGTCTCCTCAATGCTTCTTGAGCTACTCTTATCAATACTGACTTTTTTCCTTTCCATTTCTAGTCCAAGAGGCATTGAAAACGTTAGCAGTTGATTTACCACCGCACAACAATCCAGCGCCGCCTCCGTTATCAAGACCTCATGTACCTTTGACCCCCATCTCTGGCACGCCAGACACCTTGGCCTCTATTCAGCTACTACCTGCAAGGTACCGCAGGAGACCGGTGGCAGCGGAGGAAATGGAATTCATCCAGGTGAGGGGTCAAACAGAACACTTACAGCTTGAGGCCCAAACACACCAAGCCGATAGCAAAGAATTAGTGGCGATGGAGGCCAACCGTTGCATCGCCTCACAATGCCTGTGTCAAAGCCAAAAAGTTGCACTTGAACACACCACAAGGACTACAGCCAACGATCAACTAGCAGTTATGTTCTGCGCCTGCTTGAGAGGAAATAACTGAACAGTGGTCTGAATCTGTCATTCAAAAAGAAAACTGGAAGATCAACTGCATGGATTCAAGAAGCTACCTTTTAGCTATAAGCTACCTTATATTTACCTTGGGCTAGCAAACAGTAACACAAACCAATACAAACTGTTTCCACTAAGGAGCTCAAAGGTTAAAAGAAACAATTTTACCTAACAAGATTGTTTTTTTTAATCTCACTCCCTGTTAACTTTAGCCAGTTGTTCACTTTTCTCACTTCCGTTTCTCTTCTTGTGCACTGAGTTGAACTGCCAATCAAGAGTGATTTCATTCACCCACAGCCTCTTCTGTCTCTGATGCCGATTGATCACGCTAAATCAGACATAAAAGGCCGACAAAGGCTGATATGGGCCGACTAGTGCCAGCAGTGCAAGACATACCACAATAAGTAGGGCAAGAGATGCTCACCAACAACCTGACATTGACTAACGGCTGATTATTGGCTTGGTGCGTCAGTGCCGTTAGACTGTACCCAGAGCATTTAACTCTAACAAGCTGACCTTTTAACTTTGGTATCAGTGAGAACAATATAACCTTTGTCTTAGAGTAAAGATAAACCTGCATAGTTATCTTTGGCCTTAAAGCACCCATAGAGTTCAACTCTTGTCTGCATTGATACTGTAGTAGGTGGTGTGATGTTTTACGATTTACACCACCTTACGATAATTTTACAACTAGTTGGATAACTTGAAAATGTAAACTTAAACCTGTGCAGTCTCATGCCATGTTCCTTATTTATAGATAAGTGTTTTTTCTTACAAATTTGTGTTCTTTCTGTCTTTCTTGGCAGCGTGGTGGACCAGAGTGACACGAAGCGACTCATTCACTGTAACCAAAGTCCTTACCTGTTGGAGATCAGTGTGTGTCTTTAACTCTGTTCCTCAGCACAAGACAACCTAATGCCACATGAGACATGATGTAGAATAAAGTATTGAATAAATCCTGTTAAAATGTACATACGTTTATTTTCTAGATGTTAAATCTTAATTGTATTTAAACGGATATCTTGGTTGTTATTACGCACAGCAAAGCCATAACCAATAGCGTCCAGGTTTTTCATACTCACTGTACTGTCACTGCAGCTATTCCTCCAGGTTTCTTGTTTTTGTTCAACATTATATCTGCTTGGTTTTTCTTAATTTTGTCATTATTTTATTGAGCTTTACTTGCACTACCACCACACTTCAATCCAAGCACAAGGCTCTAGTGCATAGAATAAAATGATTTCATGCCTTTCACTGCAATCCACTAACTCGTCTGTTTGTTGGACCCAAACAAGGCTGAAGAGATGCTGGAAATCAAGTTGAATTATGACTGAGTGAAATGGTGTTTATGTGAACTACTGCTGGATTTAAATGATTAAAAGCATATTGTATTTTGATTGTGGTGTTCTTATCATGCTTGGCGTAAACGCTTAGACACAAAACAAGCAGAAGATAAGGACATGTGAACATATTTAGGATTAATCTCAGGTATTTATTGTTGTTACGGTTGCTGGCATGCTCTATATGGTAAACATTAACAACATTGAAATTTCACAACAGTGCAGTATGACCAGCCACCATCCATGTGTCACAGGTTTTCTAACTATGAGATCAGTAAGCTGTTTAGCACTCGGATGAATATTGGCACAAGTAGCACAGACGTGACAGAAAGGCCAAAAGTGATTATACACTTCACCTGTCTGCCTGGCAGATTGTCATTTTCACCAGAGCTGAGAGAAGCTCGTACAGTTTCAGTTTTTAATCATCTCCTCTTGCTGTGAGTTCATCAAGGAGAAGTCACACCCAGGTAAACACATATGAGAAAACAAAGCTGCGTTAGTAAGCACATGTCTGCCTTCTGGCTAAAGTAAAAGAAAACCAGCTCCTAAACACATGAATGCCGTTACAGAGCAATTCATGGCTTTACAAAAATACCTCTGGATGTTTAAAACCCAAATATCAAACACCAGCTATGAACTCTGAAGAAGAAAGTGCAGTATATTCATATATCATATAAACACTTACAGCAACAAGAACTGTCAAGTCACAAATGGGCACAACACTAGAAACACTGAGGTATGCACTGGATTACTCTGATTATTTCGGGAGAATATTCTGTCAGCGCCGTGTTACTGAGGAGTGGAACTTTTTTTTTGTTAGTTTTTTTTTGCCAGACTAAACATTGCACTTGAAACGCAGTAGAAGCAATCTGTGCTCCGTACTGGAGGCGAAAGGACTCATCAATTGCTCTGTTCATCCAGTTCCTCAAAAGCGGGTAAGAAATCAGCGATGGTGTCCACCACGTAGTCGGGCACCAGGCCCGACTTGGTGGTCAGCTCACTATTCCTGTACTCCTGGGCCTCCTCGATCTGAGACACGCCGGTGAGAGTGAGCATGGTGTCGAGGCCGCAGTTGGACCCAAACAGCATGTCCGTCTCTAGGCGGTCCCCAATCATCAGGCACTGGGCGGGGTCCACCCCGCTGAACTGACTGGAGATGCACTCGAACATGAAGCGGCTGGGCTTTCCGATCACAGTGGCTTTGCGGCCGGAGGACACTTCCAGGGCTGCGGTGAGGGACCCAGAACCTGCAGAGGGTGCAGAGGAGACAAACATTAGATTACAGTGTATCTTACGACACATCCTCCCCTCCATCCTCACACTCTGATTTCTCTTCTTCAAGTATGTTTGGGCGCCACTGAGATATTGTGTATCACATGTCACTTATTCACAGTGAGTAATTCGTCTGTGTGCCTGAAGGCCACAGCAACCCACACACTGCCACAAACACCAATGTAACACACAGATAAATGGAGATTTATTCTGCAGTGCTGATTAATGGTTTTAGTACTGCCAACTTGTTTTTGCATGTGCTAGTCTGTCCTGATCACGTACAGTGCAGCCTACATAGGGCCCAGTGGCTACCTGATAGTGGTACCAAATTCCTCAGATACTGCCTAAAATGCTGGATCAGGTATCGTTGAATATGCAAGTCTATGCACCGATGCCATACTTGGCTGTAGGTGTGAATGTGAGTGTGAATGGTTGTCTCTATGTGTCAGCCCTATGATAGTCTGGCGACCTGTCCAGGGTGTACCCTGCCTCTCACCCAATGTCAGCTGGGATAGGCTCCAGCCCCCCCACGACTCGTAACAGGATGAGTGGTTATGGAAACTAAATGAATGAATGAATAAGTATTGTTACGTTAGCTGTTAGCAAAATGTAAAATTAGATAACAAAATAAAGTTAGATGGTGTCATCCTCTGTGTTTGTTCATCTTTTACCTCAGGGTTTAACCTGAGCCATGTCATACAACAATGATAGCAATCATTTCACAGCCATAAAAGGTCAGTATTGTACAGTTGCATTTATGTTTTTTAATGTAATAGTAACAGCAAGTTCAGGTTATCAGAATTGTATCGGAGAGGAACAAACTGTATCGGAGCATCTCTATTTCTGAGTGAAGTACTGCTATTTTACAGGGAGACATTGGTTTCAGTTCATTTCAGTGCAACATACAAATTAGAGTCCAGGTTCTTGAACCTTTAACTGGATTAGGCCCTGAAGCCTCACACTTCCTGGGGCCCTGAAAGACTCAGGTTCACTTTGCGTCAGCAGGTCCTGCATCATGACCTCACTTTCGTATAGTTTTGGGAGCATTTTTGTCTTTATAGTAACAGTAGGGCAGAGGCAGGGAATGAGGGGACAGAGGAGGGGTGACATGCAGCAGAAGCACCAGTCTAGACTAGAATCAGCATCATTGCAATAAAATGGTGGGCATCTTGAAAACGTAGGCCACCAGACCTCTCTATTATCACCTGATCTTGAGGCCCTGCAGAATGGTTTCAATACCTTTAATGTAACAGTTCATGCTGCACTTATATGATGTATGTTCATTCCTAAATAAATGTGTGTTTAATCAAACTGGGAGCATGAGAGCACTGGACAGTCACAGATAAACGTACTTGATAAATGTACAGATAAATTGAGACGTTTTCTGCAACTATGGGGCTTCCACAGACCAGCATGATTTGTGTAATTTAGGGAGTGTATAAAGAACAGGGTGTACTGGGTGTTTCTGCAACAAAAAATCTAATTCATTTTCAAATAATTTTTGTTCATCTACAGCTTCACTGAGAAAGGTGTCTATCTCTTCAGCCATATACCTACCTTTATCTCAGCTTTGTTTCTGTTTATTTTGTCCACATTAAAAACGTAAATGTTTGTTTTTGGATCCTCACCACAACCGCGCACCTCTATATATTGTTTACCTTTTTGGAGTTGTGCACACTGCTGTATTTCAACAGTACTGGACAGTAGGGTAAATATACAGTAGTGAAACTGCCACGTGTCGTCTGTTGTGTGCACTTTACATGGTGGGCTACACAACCAAAGTACAAAGAGCAAGAAGAATGGCAGTCAATGGAGGGCCCCCCCTATTCAGCCATGGGTAATCCATCACAGTAAACACCATGTGTATTTGTATTTTATACTAAATAAGTGTGCACTGCAGCAGAGATGAAGCTGGAATTTGCAGGATTAGCCTTAATATATCAGGTCATGTTGCATTTACATGATGCATATTTATTCTTAGATAAATATGTGTTTATTCAAACTGACCTATATTTACCCTTTGGTGTTCCAGTAAATACACTGTAATGAAGCTGACACGTGTGGTCTGTTGTGTGTGCTGTACATGGTGGGATACATGAACAAAGCGCAGTGAGAAGAAAGGCAGTCAATGGGGACCCCCTCCTATTCAGCCATGGGTCCATCAAAGTAAACACCATGTGTATTTGTATGTTAGACAAAATAAGTGTGTAGTGCAGCAGAGATGCAGCGAGAATGTGCAGGTTTGATCCTGAACAATAACTCTACAGTTCTGTTGTTGGTTGGAAACAACTTTGTTCATGCTGGAAATAAACAGAGCTACATCTGCTACAAACCTCCATGTTACAGTGGATACACAGAGTCACTCCTCTCCACAGATATCATACAGAACACTGCAGCTGATATTCTGCTGTCTCACATTTAAAGTGCTTTACCAACTTATATATTTACTGGAGCTTAAGTCTGCAATGTGAAGAAGCTTATAGTGAAGATTGGCTTTTATTTTAGACATAAGACTCGTTTTACTGTCAGTGCTACGAAAAACCTTGTGGAGGCCACTTTTCTGTCTGTGGCTGATTATAATGACACATTGTATGCCTCCATTTTACATGGCCTTGATTCAGTGTACCATGTATCTCTGCGTTTAATTACACATGCAAAGTCACATACTCACCTCTGCATTCTATGATTTGGCGGGTTGGACATCTTTGACAATTCGCAGACAACAGCACTGGTATATTTTTTATCTATAAAGCAATATTGGGTAAACCTCCAGCGTACCTCTGCACCTTTCTGTGTGTTTTAACAGATCTAGGGAAAACTGCATTCTCCTACTCTGCACCAGGGACATGAAATAATCCTCAAAAAGATCTAAAATTAGAAACATTTATATCCACTGATGAATTTAAGGGCATCATTAAGAATGTGGTGAGATATGTGCTCATTTTTCTTGAGAGGCCACTATGTTTGAATAGTTGCCTTTTACTGTGGATTTTTGTATTTTATGTTGTGTTTATTGCATTTTAAATGTATTTTGATTGGCTGCTACTTCGGCCAGGTCTCTCTTGTAAAAGACATTTTCAATCTTAACGGGAATTCCTGGATAAATAAAGGTAAAATAAAAAAAAAAAAAAAAAAAAAAAAAATACAAATAGACATACTGTTCACTGTGATGGACCCATGGCTAATTAAGGGGGGTCCCCATTTACAGCCATTCTTCTCACTCTCTGTGAATTGTTTATGTGCCTCATCACCCTTTGGGCCCACCATGTACTGTGCATTGCACACAACAGACTACAGGTCAGCACCATTACAGTTAATTTACCCTGACACTCAAGGGTAAATATACATATCTTTGACTAAACACAGATGTAAAATGTGTTTTGATTGGCTGCTACCTTGGCCAGGTCCCAGGTTTCAAGCTTAATGGGACTCCCTGGTTAAATAAAGGTTAGATAAAATAAAATGTGCAGCTGTAATGAGGAAAAAAGAACAATATAATAAAAATCTACGAGGAATGCTTAAAATAGTTCCTACAAATTGAGGCTCTAGCTGTACCTGACCTCCTGGGCTGCTGAACCTGTGCCCAATGTCAGTAATCTATGCATGTTTGGCACTGACACAAAGATCATCACCACCATACCTGGCAGTATCCTTCCACTTGACAGAGGGTGCCAGGGGTCGTTGTCGGTGGCCAGGAACAGACAGTCCGGGTCCCTCAGGTAGCACGAGGCTTTGGCCAGTTTGAGAAAAGTCAGTTTGTCATCATGTCCCACCAGCACCGCCTTGACGTCCGGAGCCAGGGTGCAGTTATAAATGGTGGCGTCCGGGTCGTCCGCCTCCTCCACGCAGGGGATGCCCGCCTCTTGCAGCTCTCTGCGCAGTCCGTCGCAGCCCATGACGAACACCTGGCCGCGGACCTTGACGACGTCTCTCAGGTAGAGAGCCGAGCAGTAGGACGAGCTGAAGATCTGCTCCAGCATCACGTCGGTGAAGCCGAGCCGGGAGAACTTGTGCACATAATTCTCCCGGGGCCTGGTGCAGTTGTTGGTGACGAACACTACGTTTTTGCCGTGCCGTATCAGCGAACTCACCACCTTCGCCGCGCCCGTGATCGCCTTCTCTCCGTGCCATATGACCCCGTCGCAGTCGAAGAGGATGAAGTCCTTCGCTTCGAGCAGACTTCGGATCTGCGGACCTCGAATTTTCTGGCAGCCTTTGAACCCAAAGGCGCCTGCCATTCCGGCTTTTCCCTCGGTCTCTTCCGTCTTTCACCTGCTAGTGGTCCCCCATGGCAACGGCTGGTGCATAATGTGGCGAAGACGGCGGGTGAAACGATATGAAAACAAATCAATGTCAGGAAATCACATTGCAGAGTCCTTGGTGCGGTTACATACACGGACAGCGGGCTACATAAACATTGACGTATAGCCACACCCACGCTGTCAGCACAGACCAATCAAACGGCAGCGCTTCAACCAATCAGGTTCGAGTGTGTCACAAGACTTATATGAGCAGCATCCTGAAAATTACATTGCGCCCTCTTTGTAGCTGATGGACGCTTTTACATTACGTTACATTTTTATTTTATTTGTGTTCACAACCTGTAAATAACAGAGCTACATAAATAAATAAATTACAAATAATAATAATAATAATAAAATGTATTTGATATATCACCTTTCACAGAAATATAATTCACAAATTGCTTCATAAAATACAATAAAACATGCAATCAATAAAAACAAAGGCAATATAACAAATAAAACAAAGCAACAAAATAAAGTTAAACATAAAGCAAATACAGGCTACTGAGGCCCCAACACACCAGGGAAACAAGTACGAGACAATTTAGGGTGAGACAGAGGCCATTTTGAAAAGATGGGTCCTCAGTTGTTTTTTTAAAAATTTCTAAGGACACCGCAGACCATAAACCTAATGGAAGAGAGTTCAAAAGTGTTGGAGCCACCACTTCAAAGGCTCGATCACCCCTCATTTTGAGCCTGGAGCGGAGGACAACCAGGGGTCCTGTTCTGAAGACCTAAGAGACCTACTGATGATATACTGTATGAATGGAGGAGATCACTGATGTATGCAGGTGCCTGACCATGGAGGGCTCTATACGTGAGAACAAGAAACTTAAAGTGAATCCTGACCCTGATAGGAAGCCAGAATAAAGACACACACACACACACACACACACACACACACACACACACACACACACACACACACTAAAATGACTCTATTCCAAGTAAAAGTTCTGCTATCATTATGCACAGTGGCCCCTCTCTTTGCCTCCCAGAATGTTATATATAATGCCTATATTACTTAACTGGATTATTGCTATTGAGACTATAATGTGTAAACAGCATTTTAATCTTGTAGTCAGTTCAGTTGGAGCTAATTTAAGTTCATATATATTATGTTGGGTAGATTAATATATAAAATGTACACGAAAGTAGCCTAAATCAGTGGTTCCCAACTCGTGGATCGTGGTCCAAAAGTGGGTTGTAGGTCCATTCTGAATGGACGGCAAGTGACTCACAAACATGTCAAGTTTGGAAAAAAACAACACTTTATTTTAAAGTACAGTGAATTTCTGGCATGGCATTTATATTTTGAAGTGCTGTTTCTTGCTACAGAGTGAGTGAACAACGGACAGCTACTTGACAGAGCTTGACAACATGGCTGAACGCAAGTATGATGCTGAATTTATTCAACCGTGTGGACCTTGAACTAGTGACTAAGGAGAAATCTGGATCCTGTGGTTGGACCAGTTGGGGACCAGTGAACCACTGGCCTAAGTATCCTGGGTCGAACATTGTATGTAATAGGTACTGAGTAATATGTTGCATTGCATCCACTCTTCGTAGTGTCTGTTGTAATTTGTATTGTTACGTGATTTTGTTGTTTGGTTAAATGTTGTATTGTATTTTTATAGTTGATGTTCTGGGATGCAAGACAAATGTCAGAATCTTATTCTGACAGTAAGGTGAAATCAAATAAAAAATGACATATTTTACAAGATTACAGTATTTTTTAACATACAATTTTATTTCTAATATAATGACTATATGTGAGATAAATGTAGTGGAGTAAAAGAATAAAGTAGCATAAAATAACTCAAATACGGTACGAGTAGCTCCAAACAAATACATGTGCTGCATGTATCACCTAGACATGTAACCAATAGCAAGAATCAAAGTTTTCAACTTCATCATACTCTCAGTTGACTGTTTATTATTATCACAACAAATGCAATCTAGTTGGGATGTGGCTTAGGAGGTACAGCGGATTGCCTACTATTGCTCTAATCAAAATATTGGTGGTTTGATCACCAGCTCCTTCTCCAGTCTGCATGTCGAAGCATCCTTGTACAAGATATTGAACCCTAAACAGCTTCTGCGGAAGCATATTTTTTTATATATCAGTTCAAGGAAGACCTACATGCAGACTAACAGGCAGGTTGAAGTTTTTAACAAAAAGCGAGCTTTAATGCAGCTGATAAAAAAACATCCAGAACAGGCAAGTAACTAAAAGTCCAAATGAAAGCAGAACCAAAGCTAAACTGAAAAACAACCAAGAAAAATACAATGAACTCAGGGAAAAAAAAACCAAACAGAAGACAGAGCAGGGAACGACACCAAGAAACACAGGGATGAATGCAGGACAAAGACCAAAGGGGAAACACACAGGAATATATACACAGAAAACTAATGACAAGAACGAGACACAGCTGGAGCAGGAGGACACTGTCAAAAGAAGGGAGATGGGGATTGGCTTACAACAAGGGTGTGGAGGGGAACACTAGGATGGAGCAAACAAGACTAATACAGAACAGGTGTGAAGGGAAGACTGTGGGAACAGGGAAGGACTAACGAGACAGGTGTGACAGAAAACAGGTGGGAAAACATACAAAGACAGGAAGTAAAACCAGACAAGAAGCAGATTAAACATGAATGAATAACATGAAAGAAGGAACACAAACAGAACACTCCAAAACAAAGTCCTTAGGATAACTGAATATTAACAAACCCAGGATCATGACATATTAATGTAGAAACAGAGAAGCAGGTGGCACCTTATATGGCTGCCTTGAATAGCACTGTATGAATGTCTGTGTGGATGTAACTCTGTATTGTAAAAGTGCTTTGAGCGGTCAGAGGACAAGAAAGGTGCCATTTATCACTTTCAATACCCCTTCAATAAATCTTGTAAAGTTTTACAAAATGAACAGTAACAGTAATTAACAGCAATACGTTGGTGGTCATGAACCAGATACTGAACGCGGCCCCTTTACCAAGAGCATCTGAACACATTTAATTGCTTTGTTTTCTAGAATTGGTTAATTCCTGTCCAGAAAGCCATGATTTTTTTAGACACACGTCTCACTCTCAGTTAAGTCGTTTTCTCACGTCACTAGATGGGGCTCTAACCAACAAATCTGAGCTTCAAAACATCCACTCAGAATAACCACCATTACTGCTGAATACAAGCTCAAACCATGTTTAATCAAAATTGACATTAGAGCTGCGACATCTCTGTCTGACACCTGTAGTGAAAGTGTCGTGGTTGTAAATAAGATGCAGACAATTGCAATTCCATCTTAAATTAAAAATGAGAAACAGAACAGTAAATTAAATGCAGCTACAGTATCAAAACAGCCAAAAGCGACAGTTTATTACTTTTTGGAAAGTTGTCCGTTTTATTCTGGTCACTACTGCTTCTATCTTCTTATTCTGGCAGCTATGTTTTTATGTTTCCTCCCTTGAACCATGATTTTCCTGTATTCTATTTTCCATTCATGTATTCTTCTTCTGCTTCATTAATGTTTGCTCTTTTTTGCCCCGTAATGCTTTGGCTGCTCTGCCCTGCCTGTTTTGGATAGCGTGCGAGACAGGGGAAGACTCACTGGCACTTGCAACTGCCAGACAAATAGACAAATGAAATGCAGGGAAAGAATGGACAGCTGAATGGACAGGGAACAAGCTATCCTAATTGGTCATTATTTCCTTGCTAATCTATATTTTCCTCCCTGCTAACCCCCAACACAGATGTGAAGAGTGGAAGGGAGGACAGGACGGGGGGGGGGGGGTCCTCCAAGGCCTGGTCTACCCTCAACAGTGGCTTGAGCGCTGACCGTGAACATTGCTGTTCGCTTTTGTGTCTTGTTTAGAAAGAGGAAGGGGACTCAGTGGAAACCAGAAGAGGAGGGTGTGGGGGTCAGAGTTGAGACTTGCAGGTGGTTAATCATTGAAGAGCCAGTAGACCATAACGCTACCCCAAACACACACATGCACACACATACACACATGCATACACAAACTTTGCAGGTAGAGCATAATTCAGGTACATTCTGTGACATACTTTGTCTACATTAAACCAGTCAAGCAAATCAACACAAAAACATTCTTAACATTCATATACTAAATTTGGACAAATGCAATGACACAAAAGCCCATCAGTGTTGCTTAGTTAACGGTGTATGTGCATGTTTGCCTGAGTACTGTCAACCACCCCTGCTTGCAGCACAGCCAGGTCAAAGCAACAAGGAGGTGTTGGACAACGTGGCGCTGCAGTACAAATGAGACGTCTGGTAGACATGACGGCGCTGGGGGAGGAGAGGGCAGGACACTTGGCATTAGGGATATTCCACTGGAGTGAAACTTGAAATACAGAAAGTGAAAATCTTTCAGGGTAGAGAAAGGACTCAAAATGAAAGGCAAAGTTGAACATTATTGATGGCATCAGCAGTTTTTTTCGCACACTAATGTTGTTACCACTTTTAAACTTGTGTAATTTTTCAGCTTTGCAGTAGTTTGCAGCTTTCATTTTGATAATGAAAGGGAATGTTCTGGGAAAAAAACACCTTTTTCTAAGTTATGCTTTTGTCCTTGGTCCAGTGTGTAAGATTCAGAGGCATTTAGCAGTGAGGACTGCAGACTGCAACCAGATGAAACTTCACACATGTGCCAAGTGTGAACTCCTAGTTAGGATTCCCTCAGTGTTCATTGTTCAGGAGATTTTTTACCAGGAGTCAAATTATATGCGGAGGTCTCGTCCTCTCCAAAACAAATCGTCCCAGTGATTTAAACTGGTATAAACACTGAATAAAGCAGTTTCACATTAAAAATCTGTGTTTTTCCGACGCTGTTTGGCTTGTCGCAGTGTTTGGTTTGTTGACTCTGGGCCACTGTAGAAACATGGCAGTGGTACATGGCAGACTCCATGGACAAGGACCTGCTCCATGTGTAGACATAAGCACTCATTTTGAGGTTACAAAAAACCCAACAATTCATATATGTAAGGTGATTTTACACTAAAGAAAACATAGGTGTTATATCATATTCAATTTTTGCCAATATATCCCCCTAAATCATACACACTGGATCTTTAAGAGATATCTTTTCTGGGCCTGGTAGGGCTACAGGGGTAAAGGAGTTTGAGTTCATCACTTGGCCAAAGCAAACATCTCCTACGTTAACATGAAGGCCTGTTATCACTTATCTAATTTTTGTATTTAAAGGTGTACTTGTATAAAACAGTGACAGCACGTACTGTTTATTTATTGAACATGTGCAGTATTTTAGAGTAGCAGGAATTCATTTTTTAAAAGTTCCCATATTGGTTCAACTTTAAAGTCCAAGATAAACAAGTAACACAGAGCTGAGGTATCAATCTGAAGTGTCCCAGAGGAAACACTAAGTACAGCTATTGTGTTTTTTTGTGTTTATCCCTGCTGTTCTTGTTCCTACAGAAAGTCCAGCAGAGGATGACAGGTCCAAGAAGCCCCAGGAAGAGAACAAGCACCAAGTCCAACAGGTATCTCTGGTACCATGGTTGCATCAGTGACGCCGGCCTTAAATGAGTTCCACCTCCGCTGTGCAGGATGTGCTCTACCCACTGAATGAATCGAAGGGCTGGAGGGACAGGATGGGATTTGTGGATCCTGCTCAGGAGCAACGCTGAAGACTTGAACCTGGAAGAGGAGAAATGATTGGGAGAAATAAAGAGAGAGAAAGGGAGGAGTACAGTTAGACATCTCTGTTCTCTACTGGCATCACAAATTTTGCCCAGCCATCGAACCACAAACCTCATGTCCTGTATGAGTGTTTGAATAGTGGAGCTGAGCAGTTCCCTGGTGATGTGCGTGGGGTTGATGGCGAGGCCAAGTCCCTTTGTTTCAGCCCTCACCACATTATCAAACTGGTCTCCAAACAGAGGGATTCCCAGCACAGGAACAGCATGGTACACTGCCTGGAGCAGACTGTTTTGTCCACCATGGGTGATAAACAGACGTGCTTTTTTGTGGCCTGGGGTAAACAGAAAATAGAGAAAGCTTCAATATTGAGTAAAGGAAGTTAGAGTGTTTGGGTGCAGTGCAGGCTCATAAAACCTCAAGATGAGAACAGGCTGTCCTAGGGTTTAAACAACATGGGGATGTGCATACACAAAATGGTCGATTTCATTGCCATGATGCGGCCGTATTTGTATCTCACTCTGTTTAGAGTCTTCATGATGAAACGTTACTGTACATTTAAGGCAAGCACTTGGGTCTTGTAGTGTGTCTTTAAATATGAAGGGATTAATTGGGAAGAACGGATCTGCAGTGCAGCAGTGACCCAGTCTCTATCTGCTGCAGTCTCGGCAGGAATCTGTCTTGAAATTTACTATTTTAGTCTTTTTTCAGATAGCCCACAATGCCTTCAATAAACAAGCCTATTGACAGTCTATCATACTGCAACGCACCATTATGTTTGTAACACAGGGTTAGGGTAAGAAACTGTTCCTACCGAGCAGGTCATTTAGAGGCAGCCAGTCCAACAGCCTGACATTGGGAGGTCTGTCCAGGTAAGATGGCCATCGTTTGGGGTCGTACCTTCAAGCAAAACACAGCAGGTTCAGGCCATTTCCCTAAATATCCTGACATTACTGGAAAATACCAGTTTTTTGTGTCAATTGTGTCATGCTTTTACCTCCACAGCACCCCTTGAGGGATCCTCAAGAAGCCAGCCACCAGCTCCACAAGCAGAGGGTCCACTGAGACGGAAGAGACCATTGATCCCAGAGTCACTACAATGAAACCTGCTTCTCCAAAATTAGAGATCCACAACTCCAGATCCTGAGGATTGAAAGAGTAGGGGTACGGGCAATGGAAGAAATGTGCAAAGAAAAATTTGCAGTGTTGAGTAAGCCAGGCAGAGAGACAGATGGAGAGAAGTTAGAGTGAGAAAGACAAAGAGAGGGAAATAAATTAGAAATTTGAAAAGCTCAGTCTCATTAATGTATCTAAATATGTTTATCAAGGGGTGAAACCTGTTCTGGAGGCTTAGCAGGTTTATTCAGCAGACCTCCCACCAGCACAGTGTAGGGCATAAGAGGCTGGGGGAACTCTAGTGAGAAGTCAGTGTTGAAGGCCCAGAGTTCAGCTCCTCGATGTAACTCCTCCAGACCACCAGGCAGTGAACCTGACTCAAGGTGGTGTTCAGCTACTTCCCTAAACACTGACCATACGAGTTCTTGGCCTTTGATATACAACACAAGACACAATCAAAAAACACCAACAGTGTATGATAAACATTTGTTGAAAGCCAATCAGATTTATTATCATAACTAGTGTCTTAACTAATCAGCTAGATCCCTTCCTGGCTCACTGCAAACACAGAACAGTCTTTCAGTAAGAAATTTAGAGTAGATGGTGATACAAGAAAATACCATTGCCAAAGGGGATAGTCTGGATCTTTTGAAGTGGGGTTGTATGAGATACTCGTCCAGAGTCAGTGTATTACATACAGTAGATGTTAGTTGGCATTCTCCCAGTTTGGAGAAGCAGCACAAGTGCCAACTTGGAAGCTGAAGGCACAAGCACTTAGATGGAAGCTAAGCAATGTACTGCTGTGGATGGGGGCAGCGGCTCCTGTGTTCAGCAAGCCAAAGTTACACTTTTGTCAGTGGAATTGGGTGGCTTTGAGCATAGATGGGGAACTCAGGCTGTTAATGGCTGTCTGATGGCAAGGTGAAGCAGTAGAAATATTCTTCGGTGGGACTTTTTTTGGTGGCTAAAAACGTTTGGCTGCTTCCCTCCATCCACAGCAGTACTTTGCTTAGCTTCCAAGTCAGCACTCCTGCCGCTTCTCCAACCTGTGGGCATGCCGACAGACATCTACTGTAAGAAATACCCTGACTATGGATAAGTACCTCATACAACCCCACTTCAAAAAATCTGAACTATCCCTTTGAGATGAGAAAATATCTCATTGCATGCAAACAAAGTTAGAATGAAGCAAAGCAGGCAGATTTTAATTTAAGAAGAATTAATGTAAATATTCTCACTACATGTACAATCATTTTACACAGAATATTAGCCAGTCATGAATGGAGGAAATTAAGATGTTTAAAAAAGAAAAAGTATGGATTACTATATTTAGATGATGTGCTAACAGCAGCAGAAAAGGAAGATGTGTGAAATGTGAGATTTAAAAGTACTAATATAGAGGCAGCACATTACAAATGAGAAGACAATGAGGTATGAGTATGTAAAAACCTATATTCATAATATCTAAAAAGGCACTCATTTAAAATTCTTCTGCATTACAGTGTGTATTAAAGATAATAGATAGATAATCCCCCTACACTATGTGATCTCTTATTTAACACCATCCTTACCTACAGGAGCCAAGACAGAATAAAAGAGGTTCGTCGCACGACCCCAGAGGCTCATGTGGTCGGACAGCTGGGAGCCAAAGACTGGGATGTAGGAGACTGGGCTGGGGAGATCGATGGACAGAGGACCATTCAGAGTGCCAGGATAGAAAGCTATGTAGCTGACACCTGGGGCAAATCAAGTATGAAGTGCATGGAAATGTAGTAATGTTAAGATCTAAAGGATGATGGTAATTATGACATAATCCAGAGTGATATGAGCAGCAGATGTACCAAGTTTGTGTGCCAGGATGAAGGAGCAGGGGTTAAAAGCATCAAGGATGGTGATGTCGTAGTGTTCCCTCTGGAGGAAAGTTATTATCTCTTTATCCCCTAACAGCTTGTCGCACTGATAGGACAGGTGCCCCATGAAGTTGAGAAAGTTATTAAAGGTATCCCTTGAAGACAGAGAGAGGAAGAAAAAGAGACAGAGTAAGAGAAAGACAAACAGAGAGGCCACAGGAGTGAGAAAGAATTTAAATCTGATATAAGCCAATGCTGTTGATAATTCAGTTTAATACAAGAGGGTTCAAAAGTCTAAAACAGAAACATATTGGGGATCAGTGTTTAGATAAAGTCAAGAGCCTTAAAAACACTGATGGAAAACCAGACTTAAGAAAACAAGATTAGGTAGCTTACGAGAGCTTGTCTCCTAAAAATCTGTGTGATACCTTCCCAGTAAAAACAGTCTCTGTTGCTCCAGGAACCAGTTATTGTATTCTTTGATGTATTTCTCCCCTAAGGACCAGGTGCTTGTCTGGTAACTGTCTGCACGGCCTGTGTAGGAAAAACCTGTGAGGACAGTCAACAGAAATTTGCAGTTATAAACATGGAAATTAGAGTGACTACATTAGAGAAAAGATGAAAAAAAACGGTGTCAAATATTTCTCTGTGTATGTATATTTGTGTGTATAGTGTATGACCTGTAATCACAGGGTTGCCCAGCTGCAGGAGCATGCGGACCTCATGGCCATGCTGATGTAAGTTGTGAGAAATTTCATCTAGTAACAAGTAGTGGCTTCCTCCTGGATCAGAGGAGAGGAGACAACATGAAATAACCGTGCTGTCTGAACATGTGGCTCACTGTTTGCAACATACTACATGAATCATACACACTTACTTTCTTCACTCACCAGTCATAATATCCCTAATACTACTCATAAAGGACACTTTAACAACCACTGCTCCACTACTCACCAATTAGACAGACAGTCAGGATCTTGGCAGACTGAAGGACTGGAAGAGCCAGAAGAGAAAACATCCAAAATACAATTCCCATGTTGTTCTTAGAATACCGCACGCTGACCTGCAGCCAAGGTCCTCTTAAAATAGTCCTCCAATTCAAACATAAACTGTAATGAAAACTTTGATGCGCGAACAAGAATTCCTTATGAGAAAGAAAGTTGGATCCAGTGAGTAACTGGGGCAAACAGGCTCGAAAACAGAAATGTGATATGCACAAAATTTTCCACAAGACATTAGAAGGAAAAAACACAGGATTACCAGCATAAAACAGAAAATTTACATCGTCTTTTCAGAGCACCACGTAAAGTCCTGAAAGTCTTCTTTCTGATCTCACTGTTTGCGCAGGAGTAAAGACTCTCTTAGACACTCTGCAGTGTCAAGTTGATACAAGGGAAATCCAAAATCCTTACACAGTAAACAAAGACTGTATCCAGTACGCTTTATCTTGCAACAAATGTAAAACGTCCGAAATAAGGCCCTGATTTATTCCGTATTATTCAGGTTATAGATGCAAGTCTGCAAGTATGATTCTGTCTGTATGACATGATGTGAGTGGCTCTGTTTTCTCTAAAAGTCAGACACTGAGACGTCCAAGAGCCTTGGACCTGCAGCAGTAATGAAAGGGAGGGAAAAAGAGACAGGGAGGTGGGTCAGAGGGGTGGGGTGTTGGGGTTCCCCGAGCCTTGTTGTATCAAATTAGACAAACAGAAATGTTAACAGGACTTACATTCTCTCAAGGCTGCTGACAGAATGAAATCCCCTCAATCAATGAGTACATGAAGGAACTTATTGATGATAATGATGATATTTATTGTCACACCTGTATCTAACTAAATTAATGAAGCAGAGAAAAATTGCCATATCTGCTGTAATGTGAAAAGTTAGCAAACAGCACTGATTACATATCTATACATGCCCCTATTTTTACACATTCAGTAATTCACAAACAGCATGCACAGTAACTTGACTGGCAAACAGGCAGCAGTGGCTGCTAAGTAGAGTAGCTACCGTAACACATCATCACTGCTGAATGGACGTTGGTAGAGTTGTGGGTGCCCTGGCAGGCAGTTGCTGGTAAGTCAGGCTTGACATGTAGGTTATCCTGGACAATGCACTCATTGTAGCCACAACCAATGCTTTTCTGTGTCAGAGAGGTCATTAGAAAAACAAGTCAGTCAGAAAAACTGCTGGAGTGTATCAGGGGAAAAAAAGGGAATAAGAGAGGTCAATCCTGCCGTTGTTGATGTTATTGTTGTGATTCCACCCTGCATCAGGCACAGACATTTCTACATACTGACCATAAGATGTGGCTGCAGACGTATTTATTTAATACTGAAACAAGCGATACATTTCAGCAAACGTCAAAAGTAAAAGTAATGAGAACGCTTCAACATCTTTTGCATTTCCTTAGTGAAAGAGTTCTTTGTGATGCAGACACCAGTGTGTGTGTATGTACGGTATACGTATGTCTTATACTTTAGGAAACTGCCAAGCTGTTAGCCTCTGCTTCGTCCTGATGGGCCAGCAGCACTCTGTGAATGTTCTGAGAGACAGAGAGAGAAGTTTGAGAGATGAAGATTTAAAAAAAAGGATACAAAAGGTGGTGAGGGAGAGAAAGATGGGAGATGAAGGTGAATCCTCATGTGGGTTTGACTATGTTAAAACACATGATGGTGGACACTCTGGATGATAAGCATGTGTGACTGATCGCAGCAGCAGAGGACAGAAGGTGTACTGTTTTTGGATTCTCATCTAACACACACTGACAGATGAGTCTACACAGGGACTTACTACAAGCTGGTAGCGTGTTGAGGTCTCCATCAGGCCCTGGATCAAAGGATGCTGGGAGAGAACAGAGAAGGGGATGCAGTCCTCAGGTTTGTAGCCCAGCTCTCTGAACATATGCACCAGGTGCTAGAGACCAGAAGGGATAAAGAGTATTACCATGAGGGACGAGAATCGTTATAATGAATTGGTTAATAATTCTGCTTAAGAAAATCAGTTTTTAAGGATAACAGCATACCCATTAAAATGCACTTTGATATTCTGCCAACCCACAGAATCAGTAAGTTAAAATTATTAAAAGCTTTAGTTTATTTTTTGTTTCTTTGCCTGTATTTTACCCCCATCCTGAAAAAAATATGTAGCCTCATTTATTTTAAGTTAATTACATAAATGAGGGTGTGGACTGTTCCCTAAATATCCAAATTATGGGAGCATTAATAATCCTTGTGGGCTGTCACTGACACTGTCCCTGTAAAATCCACACTGCTGTAATAAGTTACCTTTTAAAAGTGACTCTCCTACAAAACCATAAAGGTTTGCTACTCCTCCCTACTAGCCGTCAAAACCAAGTGAAGCATCTCATGTTTGCCGTGTGTGGGAGAACTATGGTGGTCCGTTCAAAACACGAAAATGCAAAAGGCGACAAAAACAAGGTGAGGTGACAAGGTGACAAAAACACAACAATTCTTATTTTCAGGTGATTATAAACTAATAAAAAACAATATAATCAATATTATATTCACTTTGCCAATAACCCCCCTTAGTCGTACACACTAGACCTTTAATGAGTTCATCCATTCACTTGCCAAGCCCAGTTTTAATCAGTACATGTAAGGGACGGTCATCTTTATTTCAGATATAAAGGGTATCATTGTAAAGCGATGTTTGCCCTATATGTCGCTACTATTGGATTGTGAATAGCAGCCATATGTTCAGTAATACTTGCCCCTGGTTGTTACTATCATGTTGATATTAGAGGTATAGTTATCTTACCATGTCTACTATCATTACAGTGGTATGTTTTATTTTACTTCAATTTATTCATTGTCTTTGTTTTGTGTGATGTTACGTCTTTTAAAAAGCAATGAAAATGCATAATTTAAAAAAGTTTGAACATTTGTACTTCATTGTGCTCCTCCTGACTCCTGGAGCAGCCTGGAGGAAGGAGGCTGTCGTCTTTCATCTTGGTGACTTTGTGGCAGATGACGGCAAGGAGAGCAGGGATGGACACTTCCTGTTCCCCCAATGAAGTGCTTGATGCGCACTGAGTCTCTTCTTCCTTGTGGTCTCCATCAAGTTCTGAGGAGCTGAGCTCTGCAGCCTCATCTATACTGGGCATTGACTGTACACACAACACATACAGATACTGCTCCGTTAGTGTGCAATAGTTTGTATCGAAGACAAACATTAACACCCCACAACCACTAAAAAAAACTGACACATGCTGTTACAAAACCACTATTTCACTATCATAATTCTGGACCACCTGAAGACACTGGTGACACAACATAATATTTATAAGACAGAGGGAAAAGAAGAAGTGCTCTAGGAATGACTTTCAAGCGCAAATTTCATTCACTTCATTTTGTACATTAATTTACTCACCTTGACAAGATGGCCAGGTGAGGAGTGCTTGAGATGTTTGCCCAGCACTACACTAAGTGCTCTGATGAAGCCCTGTCTGGGGTTAGGGTCGGCTGCAAAGTACTGCAGCATGGACACATAGTCCAGTCGAGGGGGAGAGACAGAGAGGTCCGCAAACAACTGGAAAAAGAACTAAGAAGAGGAACAGAGACAAATGTTACTGTTAATTTATTTGATTTATTTTATTTATTACATCAAAGGCATCAAAGTTAATCTGGGTGCACAGTAAACACAGGATGTTCAGGTTTGATCTCTTTGAGGCTTAAAACAAAGTGGATAGCATTGTGATGACTGTACCCTTTATAAGTTTGTGTTTTATATTAATTTCTGTCATAGACATAACTGAAACTAGCAGAAATGTCCTCTTACAGTAATAAAGAGTTCAGTAATGCTTCATTACTCTTCTGACTTTGTTCATTATTTTTATTCCTTTAGATGTTTGTGTATCATGACTACTTGAAGTTCCCATTTCAGGTTTAATAAAAGTTTACGTTAACCTGGACTTAAGTAGGCTTTGCAGGTAGTTACCTTGCGTAGGTTAGCCAGACGATCATAAGGTAGCGGCTCAGAGGGGTCTTCAGGGGTGGGCTGGATGCTCTCACTGGTGAACCACAACTCTGTCTGGTGAGAAAGTTGGCAAAAGGAGTAACTCAGACATTTATATGTATATATGTATATATATATATATATGTATGTGTAGGAGCTACAGTTTTCACTTTATCCCTTTATAATATGTTTAGTATACAAGTCTCTGTCTCAGTGCATATTAGTAATGCCACAAGAGCAAAGATGGGCCATGGGGTGTGTGAGAGGATAGATAACTTGTCGATGTAGGTTTATCCAGAGTAGAAGGATATAATGTCCTGAATTCATAGTGCACATCTGAGTTTATGTGTGTAGAGACCTGTAGGTACTGATCCTCGTTTATATAGCCTGTGTTGCCAGTATCTGCTGCCTTGAAACCACGTAGCACGCCCAACAGCTGTGATAAGGACGGAAACGTCCACGGGAGGGCAGCGCTGAGCAGAAACCGACACCAGTCTATCAGCTCATTGTCGTCCATTAGCAGAGATACAAGCTCCATCAACTGTGGACAGCAGAGAAAATGACAATGCTCCTGTAAGACATGTGATGTGTCTTTTATGGTAAGTGGAAGATATGGAGCAGGAATATTTTGTGTCTAATAAAGTGTTCATAATTTTTCTTCCTAGTAGACTTTGGTGTTATGAGGCAAGGAAAGAAAAGAGTCTGTGAAATACTTTGAAGAGTACCTGTGTTTCATTCATGTTGATCCAGGGCTGAGGCAAGGTGTCTCTGCCCATGTTAACAGAAATTAAATCCCTGAGCAAACTGGAGAACTCAGAACTGGACATGAGGCCTGAAGGTCAGATCGGAGTGAAAAGGATAAATGCATGGATGGATACAGTAAATGGATTAACAGACCCAAGAACACTGCAACTTGTCTCCCTTACACTAACCTGATGGGGCAATGTTGCATAGTGCTCGGTGGAGTGACTCTAGCTGAATGATGGTCGGGGTGGACCGTGTGGGTTTCTCCAGAGGCGGTGGACGAGGAGGGGAAGCCGGGGGGCTTGCCACCATGTGGCAGTCTCCATTCAGGTAGAAGTCAGTACATTCCTGGAGAAGAGAATATAGAGAATCTTAAAATGGGAGGACTGAGGTAAAGGAGACTGTGGTGGTTGCACGTTGGGAGAACAACTGAGATTTCATCCTGCAGTCGCTAATCTGTAACTAGTGAACGCCACACTATACCTTCCTGGGGTAGACATCAAAGGTGTGTTTAAAAAAAAACAAAAAAACAATTAACACAATCATAAAGTCATTACGTACCAAAACCAGCTCATTCTGCATCTTAGCACCAGCCTCTATGTGGTGGCGAACCACCTCTGATAGTTGGTCAATACTAGAGAAAAGGAGACGGATACAGATAAAACATCAACTATGTCTTCTGTGTTTAATTTGTAACAAAAACTGCCTCTGACCAGACTCAAATGTGTTAGAAATGGTTTGTTATTAGCAGAAACTTAAACCTAGTTTTTAGAGGGCTTTCATTAATTTGGATATGCTTTATGTTACATGACTTTTTGCAAATCTTTTTTGTTTAAAAAACAGTTACACACAAGTCCAACAATTCAATTCTGGGGGCTCACATACATGCACACATAAAGCATAATGACATGACTTGGAGATAAAACATAAAGCATTTATAACACACTAATCAAAAACAGCAACATTGATAAAACAGGGACAGCGGGGCAGTGCTTCATTCACATTAATGCACACATGGCCCACCCTGTGCTGTACCAT